TACGTTGCTGCAGTGCTCAGGGCGCGCACTCGCTGCGCTCCAGCCTCGTCCCCGCAGCGCCTGTGGCCGCGCATGCGAGGCAATCCACTCACTGCCGACCTGTCGGGTGGCGCTGGATGCGGTGGCGGCTGTACCCCGCCTGCGCGGGGGTGACGGAAGCGGCAGGGCGGCCCGTGCGTTGGACCAGCGTGCGCGCCTCACTGGACCGCGCGCCCAGAGCGGCCCGTTGCCAGGCCAGCACCGCGGCCTCCTCGCGGGCGTCCTCGAGCTTGACCTTGCACAGGTCAGGAAGATTGTCGGGCAGCTTGTGCTCCAGCGCCCCGACCTTGGTGAACCAGTCCACCCATGCATTACCGAGGAGGTCCATGACGCCCAGCAAGTCGTGATTTGCACGGGCGTCAATCGTGGGGTGCGCAGGACATTAGGAGGCCGAAGACCAGCCTGCTCACGCCTCACGTCGAAGGCCTGTCGCCAGATGTCGGCGTACTGGCCCGCCGAGCTGGCGAGTTCCTGGTCCCAGGCCTCGACCGCGCGCGCGAGCGCCGCCAAGTCCGTGACAAGGAGGTGCATGTAGGGCGTGAGCCGCAGCGCTTGCAAGAAGGCCAAGCGCTTCGCTTGCCCCACCGTCTGGCGCCCTTTTACCGTAGGCGGCGCGCGCTGAGAGGCTGGCCTCGCCTATCTGGACGAGATCCCAGCCAGATCGCGTGAGTTCGGGGATCGACGGGTCGAAGCCCGAGCCGTCCGCGTACGTGATGGTTGTCCGCCCGACGAAAGGCGACGACCAGTCGCCCCAGACGTGGCACACACCCTGCGCCGCCGCCGGTGGCACCTGGTGCGGACTGAGCGGCATGCCGATGACGAGGTCGAAGCGGTCGTACAGTCGGGGCCCTGAAGAAGGAACCCTTTTCGTTGGGGAGGGGCTCCGCGTTCTTTAAGTGCTTCGCAGCTTGCCTCAGGTTTTCCTTGTGTTTTCGATCGGAAATCGAAGTTTAACCTTTGGAAAAAAGGGGCCTCGTTCCTTACTTATCGTTCCTTAGGTCAAGGCCCCGACTGTAGTCGGCGTCGCCCGCGCCCAAACCGTCACCGGGCCTGCACCCGCTGCGTGGCCCACGGCTGCCGCTCCGACCTCGCGGCGAGGGAGGGGGCGCCGTCGCCGCCGGCGCCGCCTCAACCCTGGCGACGCGTGGACACCCGTAGAGCCAGTGCCTTCTCGTGCCCTTGGCGGCGCCGTCGGCGCAGCACGGGAAGGGGGGGGGGCTGCCGATGTGGCCACCTCGTGCCACCCCGCCCGCGTCCCAGGAGGCTCCCGCGCAGGGCTTCCTGAGCGGGCCGACCCTCGCGCCCCCCACCGGTGGCTCTCGAGGGCGCCAGCACGCGACGCACCGCGCGCATCCAGAGCCGGGCGTCCGGCGGCGGCGGCAGCGCTGGGTGGTGGAGGAGGAGGCGGAGGAGGAGGAGGAGGAGGAGAACAAGGATGACTAGGACTAGAAGCTCCTTCCCCCGATCGGGGCGGAGGATTTGCCTCCCCTGCCAGCGCCTGACGCCAGCCCGCACCAGCGCGCCCAGTTCCTTGGAGGCGCGCCTTCAGCAGCTCGACGGTTTGGCTCTGATCGTCGACGAGCACCAGGCTGGAGTGCAGGTTCTCGTCGAATCATCCATGTCGATGCGAGGGGGCCGCGCAGTCCATGCCAGGTCGGCTTGGCATCCAGCCACCGCTGCTGCAGCACCGGCCGTGCTCTCTGGAGCCGTGCTAGCGGTAGCTCGTGGTCCCAGATGGCGGCGCAGTAATTCGCGGGTGAGGGGGGCCCAGCGTGGCTAGGAACATCAGGTCGAGGAAGGGGTCCCGCTCCGTGGCAAGGAACAGCGTGATGGAGTCGGCGCCGACGCCGCCGCGCCCGCTGCACAGCAGCGCTGCGCGAAGCCGCAACACCGTCGGATGGGCGTCGCTCGCGCCGCCGCCAGCTGCACCGCGGGCCGCCAACGGGAGCAGCCCCGTCCTCCACAGGGCCTTCGCGCGGGCCCGCGCCGCGCAGGTCCGCCCTCGGCTGCCGCGCGACGAGCTTGTTGCGGAAGGGCCCCCGCTCCAGCAGCTGGAGGTCGCGCGCTGCAGGCCGAAAGGCCTTCGGCGCCGCCGCCGTGGTGCCGAACCTGCCCGATCGCATCGCCAGCGGGGGGCCCCCCGTCCATGCAGGAGTCGACGGCGCCGTGGAGCTGCCGGGCGCCCGCTCCGATCGCGTCCCCGGCCCCACTGCAATGGTGGGGTCGTGCACCGGAGCCCGCGGGGTCCGCTGCTCGGGGATCGTCCTCGGGCGGGCGACGGCCTGGAAGAGCAGCACCGTGAGCAGCGCCGCGCGGCGGGCGCGTCCCGCGCGGTGAGCAGCGCGGCAGCGGCACCGTGCTGCTGTCGGCCACGGCGGCGCGGCTCCCGCAGCCGCAGGGCCGCAACGCCCGGGGCACGCGGAGGCAGCTGGTGTACCGCCGGACAGAGCGCGCGGGGAGGTGCTCCGGCAGCGGCTCGAGCAGCACGCTGTCGGAGGCCCCGTGGAGGTGCACGATGGCGGTCAGGTTGGCCTCTCCGAGGGCTTGGGCCAGCTCGGCAGGAGGAGGAGGAGGAGGAGGAGGAGGAGGAGGAGGAGGAGAGGGTTTATGAGGAGCAGGAGGAGGAGGAGGTGGAGGAGGAGGAGGAGGAGGAGGACGACGACGAGAACGAGGAGAACTTGGCAGACAGGAGGACGAAGGAAGGGGGATCAGGTGGATCAGCGGGACGGGAAGGGGCCTGGGATGAGAAGGTGATGGCCAAACTCATGTACTGCTGCCTCCCCGCCTCATGGACGGCCGCCTCCTCCCAGGTCTGGGGGCCCTAGCCAGGCGATTGAGGCGAAGAGCGGGCAGCAGAGGCAGAGTTCTCGCGCGACTCGTCCCCCGCTGCCGTGTGCGGACCTTGCGGGGCCTGGGGGGTGCGCCGGGAGGACGAGGAGGCGGCGGACCAGGGCGACGCAGTAGGAGGAGTCGGGCGGGACGAACGGGTAGGATAGGGAGCAGGGGGGGTACGAAATCTGCCGCATGCAGCTGGCTTCGGCTCCGCCGCCGGGCCCATTCCTCGAAACATGGGCGCCTCCTGGCGCCAGGACGGGGCCAGGAAGGACCAGCTGCGCGAGCTGGCTCTCTGCCATGCCCTTTGCTCTTCTACCCTCTCGTCCCCCCCGAAGGAGGCGGAGGAGGCGGAGGAGGAGGAGGAGCAGGAGGAGGAGGGTGGAGGAGGAGGAGGCGGAGGAGGGTGGAGGAGGAGGAGGAGGAGGAGGAGGAGGAGGAGGAGGCGGAGGAGGAGGAGGAGGAGGGTGGAGGAGGGTGGAGGAGGAGGAGAGGACTGGGAGGAGGGCGGTGGGAGGCGAAGAGCTGGTCGGGAGGGTGTGCCGGAGGGGCCCCTGGCCCGACGCAGGATATGTCTGGGGCGGAGGGCGACGGGGGCGGCCTTCCGGGAGAGGGCGGCGGGGGCCTCGTGGCAGTCCCTGCCCCCCCCCCTAGAGAGAGGCCCTCGCGCAGGCCTTGGGGTCATGTGAGGACGCCTGAAGGCTTTGGAGTCCCGAAACGGTGCGGTGATGGACCGTGCGGTGACCTCGGAACCCCAAGAGACCTCACGGCACGGTTCGTTAACGCACGGTTTTGGGACCCTGGAGGCCCCTGTCGCCCAAGACGTCCTCGGAGAGTCCCAAAATCGTGCAGTGACCCCGAATCCCCACCGACTCACCGCACGGTGTGGTCACCGCACCAGGTGGTGAGTCAGTGGGGACTCGGGGTCACCGCGCGGTTTTGGGACTTGAGTCGTTCCCCGATGATGTCTCGAGCGACTGAAGTCCCAGACGCGTGCGGTGCCGGTCTGCGCGGTGAGGTCGTTGGGGTTCCGAGGTCACCACGCGGTCCGTCAGTACTTCGCCTTGGGGCCCAGAAGGCGTCCTCTGATGCTTTACCTTGCCGTTCCTTTCTCCTCCCCTTCCTCTGTTCGCCTGTAGCCTGGCCTTGACACGCTCTAGGGTTGAGTCTTGTTGCCCCATGAGGTGCTCCAGGCCTCCGAGTGCAGCAGTCTGACGACAGCGTGCCTGGATCGTGGGCAAGGCCCGTCTTGGAGTCCTCTTTTTGGGACTCTAGGGAAGCCCCCTGGAAGCCTGTTGGCGGCTTCTCGGGAGATCCGTAGGGCCTCTTGGGAGCTTCTGTGGGGGCCTCCGAGGTCTTTTTAGGGTCCGCTGGCGGTCTCGGGTGGCATCTGCTGTGAGAGGGCTCGAAATGTCACTTCGGGTTCCGAGTCTGTGGGCCGTCTTTGGGTTCTCTTGGGCCCTCGTCGGGGCCCCAGGGGTCGTTTTGGGCCGATCTTGGGTGCATCGTGAGCCGTCGTGGACGCTCTGAGAACCGAGAAGTCGAGGATACCGACCTCACCCAAGAGTGTAAGGTTCTCAATGCGTCTGGCCTCTCGTGCTGGCCTCCACCTGCAAGACGGCCCAGGAAGCCCAAGACGGCTCCAAGACGGCCCCGGGGCCTCAGGAAAGTCACGCGCCGTGCCCTGAGAGCGCCCGAAAACGCCAGAGGATTCTGTAAATCCGCGCTCCTGGGCCCCCTGCAAGACTCCGCCACGCGCAGAGGGGAGCAGGGGGAGGGGGGAAGTCTTCTTATAAGCACGCTGCTTAGAAGGCGCGGGCCTTATCTATAGATGTAGTAGGGCCGGCGCGTTCTAAGGAGCAGCATCCTTCTCAAGCAGACTCCCCCCCTCCACCACCACCCCTGCGCTCGCTTTCTATCTGGGCCCACTGCAAGACCTGCTTACAACACCCCACATACACACAGAACTCGAATGGACCCGTGGGCCTTCCCGCCTTCCCTCCAGAGCCTACGGCACAGCGGCAGATGGTGGCGAGCTCTCCGCCGTCGTGCCCTCGTGCGACGTCCAGCTCATTGCTGGACACCCCCGCCTTCTCGACACTGATGGCAGCAGCAAGAAGCCTCCACAGGTGGATCCCGACGTGGAGCCCGAGCCGCTCTTCGTGGGCAAGGAGCTGCGGGGGGGGGGCTCATGGCCCGTCTGCTGGGAGAGGTGGGCCAGAGGAGACGACGGCGGCGCCCCAGGGTCTGCTCAACATCGGTCCCGGGACCCCGCCCGCGGTCCATCCTGACCCGATTCTCGGGGCGGATCCAGGAGGAGGAGGAGGAGGAGGAGGAGAACCCAAAAACAATTCGTGTTTGGTCGGAGGCTTCGCCATAAAACACGTGGGGCCGTCAGGCGCCAAAATCTGACCCTGGAGTTTCGTGCCGATATCCACATTACCCAGGTCCTCGGGCTGCAGGTTGAAGCCACCACCTGCGAGCTAACCTCCTTCTGCTACCGACGTACAGCCCCCAATGCTCGCGAGGATATCTAAGTTGACGTCAGAGATGGCATTCCGACGTCACCACCAGGTAACATGAGAGCACCAACGTAGAATACCCCCCAGGAGGGTGCACATAGCCAGCAATACCTCTGTGAGGAACCACTTGAGAACCGTCAGGAGGCGCGTGGAGCCCCATGTAGTCTCCCTGGCCAGGACAGCAACGCCCCCCGACCACCCAAGAGCCCCGACCAGGGGCCGCGGGCCCCCCAAGGCTGCGCCATCCGCGGGCCGAGCACCACCGGGAAGCCTCCTCGACGGAGTCCCCGGCACGCAGCTTGTGCTCCCGAAGGAGAGCACCGCGTGGGCCCTGGAGAGCGTGGTCCGAGCCTGCACGGAGCCCCAGCTGCTCCCAGTGGCCGCCCGAATTCGCGCAGAGGGCACTGCCCCCTGCGGGGGACAAGGCGGGCTCCAAGGCCCGCATTGGGGGGGTCGGCGAGCTCCTGCTGCCCGCCCACGGCAGCATCCGGTCAAGGGAGGAAGAGACGCCCGGACCGGGAAATTGGCGTTTGCTAAACGGCCTTGGGCGTTTACTGAACAGCCTGCCCTTTTTGATTCCTTCCGTGGGTGCGTTTGCGAAACGGCCTCGCGTGTCGGGGTGATTATTGTCGGGGTGGATGCTCCGCCCTCTATTCGGGATGGAACATGGAACGGCGGGGCTCTCGGAGTGTCGACCGTGACGGCCCGTGCACACACGAGAGGATCTCCCCCCTTCGCGCCGCCAAGACTTGCCGATCGAGGCTTGGGCGTCGAGCTGCACAACAACACGGCTGAGCATTGATTCAATTACTCCGACGGAAGAACCCCACATAAGAATCCTCTGGGCGAATCTGGAAAAAACCATCACCGTCGTCCTCGTGGTTGGTGAGGCGTCCTGGCTGTCTCTTCTGCGTATATTTCCTCTCGCCTTGGCGCGGGCCCCCCTTCCACTCCTTACGTTGTCCCCATCCTCGCCCCCCTGTTTGTTCCGCGCCCCGCCACCTCCTCCCCTTCCTGTTGCATGAGCGCGCATGTCGATGTTCCTCGGCGCCGTCGCCGCCACGGCCAGCACAGGCGCGTTCTCTACTGGTCACGTCGCGCAGCCGTTGGGACAACCCCGCGGGCCAGGCTGTCGGGACAACCCCGCGAGCCGTTGGCGCGCAAGACCAAGCCGTTGGGACAACCCCGCGGGCTTCGAGCGAGGCGCAGCCGCGCTCAGGCGGAAGGCAGCACGAAGCCCAGCTCTGCCGCGAGCTGCTTCGCCTCCGCCCTGGACAAAACCGCTCTCTTGTCGAACTCCAGGAGCGCCTTCCGCAGGGACGCCGGCGGCCCGCACTCCAGGAACTCTCGCGGCGGCGGCCGCAGGATCAGCATGTTCCGCATGCACGTGGCGCGGGAGAACATGACGTAGAGGTGCAGCCACCACTGCTCGTCCGACATGCCCGTGCGGCCAGCGTCCTCGTCTCTCGCGCAGTCGATGGTGACGCCCTTGCGCAGCGTCTGGCCCTGCGACAGCGTGGAGGTCAGGTAGGACGCGTGCGTCAGGGTGAACCCCGAGCGGCGCACGCTGTGCGCCCCCGAGCTCTGCCATGTGAGTTCCTTTTCGCTGGGCCTGAACATCAGCAAGCTCCGCGCTCGCGCCTCGGCCTGGCCGTCGTCGTCGGCGCCTTCGGCGCCCTGTCGCAGCACCTCGGCGACCTCCTGGTAGATCGGAGACTCCTTGAAGCCGTGCACCTGCAGCCAGATTCCCTGCGGTAGGAAGCGGGGGCGAAAGAGCTGGCCTGCCGAGCACTCCTCGTAGCGCTGCTCGTCCTCGTGGTGGAACTCGAAGGACACGATGGTGGCCCGCTGCTCCTGCACGAGCCCCAACTTTTTCTTCAGCTCCTCCTGCGCTGCCGTGAACCGCACCTCCATGCCGATGTGGGCCGGCAAAACGCCGTGGATGTCCCCCGTCTTGTGCATGTTCGGGACGTTCAGGAGGCGCCGACCCGCGTCGGGCTCGCCCTGAATCGTGCCGCACTCTTCAACGGCCTGCACGAAAACAAGGGGCACGCCCAGACGAGGCTCCCGCCTGAGACTTCCTCCAAATTCAGGCTTGAGGAGCCCAAAAGTGACGACAGTTACAGGATTCCGATGACCCGCTCGGATTACCAATATGATCTGCGGGCCCCATAGGGAGGGAGCTCCCGCCTGAGACTTCCTCCCAATTCACTCACAGACGAGGCTCCCGCTTGAGACTTCCTCCATTTTCAAGCTTGGGGAGCTCAAAAGTTACGACAGTTACAGGATTCCGATGACCCGCTCGGATTACCAACATGATCTGCGGGCCCCATAGGGAGGGGGCTCCCGCCTGAGCCTTCCTCAGAATTCACTCACAGACGAGGCTCCCGCCTGAGACTTCCTCCAAATTCAGGCTTGAGGAGCCCAAAAGTGACGACAGTTACAGGATTCCGATGACCCGCTCGGATTACCAACATGATCTGCGGGCCCCATAGGGAGGGAGCTCCCGCCTGAGACTTCCTCCCAATTCACTCACAGACGAGGCTCCCGCCTGAGACTTCCTCCATTTTCAGGCCTGGGGAGCTCAAAAGTGACGACAGTTACAGGATTCCGATGACCCGCTCGGATTACCAACATGATCTGCGGGCCCCATAGGGAGGGGGCTCCCGCCTGAGACTTCCTCACAATTTACTCAACGATGATGAGGATGAGGATGATGAGTGGTGGTGAAGATGAGTGGTGAAGAGGATGATGATTGATTGTGAGTGGTGGTGGCGATGATGATGTTTGAATGAGGATGATGCCGATGCCGATGATGATGATGATGATGATGATGATGATGTTCGTGAGCGTGTGAGAGAGTGCGAGTGATGATGATGATGATGAGTATGTGAGTGACTAAGCATGTGAGAGAGCATCATCGATGATGCTGATGAGGTTGATGATGAGAGAGTGTGAGTGAGTGTGAGTGGGTGTGTGTGTGTGTGTTCCTGTTCTGCGCGGGGTGTCCAGAGAAAACAAGAACCCCACTTTGGATGTGGGGAAAAAAGGCATAGTTTCCTGCTTCAAAAGCACGAATGTAGATCGAACTGTGAAGCGTCCCAATGGATACGTGCCGGAGCACGACCCAGAGGAAGCGCACGGGAGTGCGTCCCAGTGGATACGTGCCAGAGCACGACCCAGAGGACGCGCACGGGAGTGCGTCCCAGTGGATACGTGCGGGGGCACGACCCAGAGGAAGCGCACAGAGTGCGTCCCAGTGGATACGTGCCGGAACACGACCCAGAGGAAGCGCACAGGAGTGCGTCCCAGTGGATACGTGCGGGGGCACGACCCAGAGGAAACGCACAGGGGTGCGTCCCAGTGGATACGTGCCGAACGCGACCCACAGGAAACGCACAGGGTGCGTCCCAGTGGATACGTGCGGGGGCACGACCCAGAGGAAGCGCACAGGGGTGCGTCCCAGTGGATACGTGCCAGGGCCACGACCCAGAGGAAGCGCACAAGAGTGCGTCCCAGTGGATACGTGCGGGGGCACGACCCAGAGGAAGCGCACGGGAGTGCGTCCCAGTGGATACGTGCCGGGGCACGACCCAGAGGAAGCGCACGGGAGTGCGTCCCAGTGGATACGTGCCGGAGCACGACCCAGAGGAAGCGCACAGGGGTGCGTCCCAGTGGATACGTGCCAGGGGCACGACCCAGAGGAAGCGCACAAGGGTGCGTCCCAGTGGATACGTGCGGGGGCACGACCCAGAGGAAACGCACAGGGGTGCGTCCCAGTGGATGCGTGCCGGGAATAGCGTTCTGGGAACACGACGAACACGAAGTGGCCTACAGTTGGCTCCTCGCAGTTCACTCAGAGACGAGGCTCCCGCCTGAGACTTCCTCCAAATTCAGGCCTGAGGAGCCCAAAAACTTCCTTGTTGCGTCCAAAATGTGGCCTGGGAGCTGCGTTCTGGCAGCGCGAGAACCCAAAATTGACGACAGTGACAGGTTTTGGATGACCCGTTCGGATTACCAACATGATCTGCGGGCCCCATAGGGAGGGGGTTCCCGCTTGAGACTTCCTCGCAGTTCACTCACAGACGAGGCTCCCGCCTGAGACTTCCTCCATATTCAGACTTGAGGAGCCCAAAAGTGACGACAGTTACAGGATTCCGATGACCCGCTCGGATGACCAACATGATCTGCGGGCCCCATAGGGAGGGGGCTCCCGCCTGAAACTTCCTCACAATTCACTCAGAGACGAGGCTCCCGCCTGAGACTTCCTCCAAATTCAGGCTTGACGAGCCCAAAAGACGACAGACAGTTACAGGATTCCGATGACCCGCTCGGATTACCAACGTGATCTGCGGGCCCCATAGGGAGGGAGCTCCCGCCTGAGACTTCCTCCCAATTCACTCACAGACGAGGCTCCCGCCTGAGACTTCCTCCATTTTCAGGCCTGGGGAGCTCAAAAGTACGACAGTTACAGGATTCCGATGACCCGCTCGGATTACCAACATGATCTGCGGGCCCCATAGGGAGGGAGCTCCCGCCTGAGACTTCCTCCCAATTCACTCACAGACGAGGCTCCCGCCTGAGACTTCCTCCATTTTCAGGCTTCAAAAGTGACGACAGTTACAAGTTCCGATGTTACAGGTTTCCGATG